AACATAGGGTGTGCAATAGACTTACCTTCACGTGGTGCACCCTGGACAACGTATACTCATACGGCAAAAAAAGTCTAAACCACCCGTTCACTTCTGAATTCGTATTCGACTCCTTCCACAGTATTCATCTTACCTTCTTTCTCTGCCTTTGTGTCTGTTTGTCTGTCTCTTTTACATCTGTGAAACACTCTTCTGTTCCCCAACCCTCAACTTACTGTCATTTTGATGAACCTTCCCTCTGTGAAGCCCGAAGTCAGCTAAATGGCTAATGATAACTATCAAAACGCCTGCCATTTGAAATAAATAAATGTTTGAACATACCTTACAAAGTTGAAAAGTTCGAGAAAATAGTTAAATCTTGTGCACCTAGCTATGCTTAAAGTTTGTCAGATTGCGTAAATATAAAAATGCTGAATAAATGTCGTTCTTATAAAATGCCTGTGAGATAACTGAGTACTTTTAGTATGCGAAAAAAATTAGAAATTAACTTAAAACAAGGTTTAACGTGTTGAAATCTTCTGATATATCAACGACCTTGGAGACACTGATGTAGGTATTCGTACATTCTCTGGCAAAACTGAGCAAACTGGCTGTAAAGAATTTATTATTTATTGTCTTCGATTTATCGATTTACGAAAGCCTGACTTCTTCGTGAGATAGCTATACGACTTTCGACTTTTTTACTCAAAAGCCTTTCAAATGTGCCTGAAAACTTATAGACGCAACTACTATCGGGGTTATTCGAAAATCCGCTCAGGGTGGTTGAAAGGAAATTCCCATTACAAAAAACTCTTTTTGGAGCCAAATAACCGCCCACCCGAATAAGTGCCCATGGGGAGGGCTAAGCTTCAATTCCAAATAGGGAAAGCTCTAAGACTGCATTTTATCTTTTAACCCGGGGTGTGTGATAGACTTACTTCCATGTAGTGCGTCCTGGCAACGTATACCCATACGGCTAAAAAAATGTCTTCAAACTGGCAGTCCATCTCTGATTTCAAGCTACCACGACTCCACTGCATGTCATATTCCGCTTCTTCCACAGTACTCACCTTTTCTGTCTCTTTTACATCTATGAAACACTTCTGTTCCCCCTCTTGAATTCTTCTCGCTTTAATATTCCTCTCCTCTGTGAAGCCCAAAGCCAGTTAAAGGGCTAAAGATAACTAACAAAATGCCTGCCATTTGAAATAAATTAATCTTCAATTAATTAACGTATGAAATGGTGATGAGTGGTGCAATCACCACTTCTTCAAAATCGCACTATTTCTGATGTCAGTTTTCTACAAGTAATAAAAATCAGTTTGGCCTAAGAGCACATGTTTGAGCATCCACACTCACACTTTAAGTGATTACAGCTTGTGCAGCTTAGATAACACAAATTGCCACATCTCAGTTACGTTAAAACTGTAAATTGCCAAAAATCATGTGAGCCTATTTTGAATTCCAAATAGTCGGAAGAAAATGAATTTTGGTGGCAAGACTAAAGCTTCTCGATCGAAAACCGAACGTGAACACCTTCGAATTTTTCTCTCGTCCTTATTTAAAAGTTCACGGTCATTGCTTGACCATTTTTCATTTATTAAAAAAACTCACGTCCACCACGTATTCCAATTTGAGTTAATAATTGACTCAGTAATTTTCACAATATATCGAATTTAGAAAAAAACAAATAGATGTATATTGAAAACATTTTGTACAGATTAAGGGACAGCAATTTGAGGTACAGTAAAAAGGAAGGAAGGGGAAAGGAGTTACATATTGAATGGCATTAAGACTTCCCTTCAGAAAGTACCAGTAACAGAAACGCAGCACAAATGAGACAGACATCTGAATGCGAAGACAAAACACCACCCTCAATCACGCAAAGCACATACAAAACGGGGAGATTTTGACGGAACAGTCATCTTTCATCAAAAATAACAAAGTGGAAGTGCACATCTACTCATTAACGCGTAATCTTGAGCTATTAATGAGCGGGCCCCCTTATTGTGCATAATTGCATCAAAGAGATCCGTGCACAGATATTTTGGTACTGGCCACCCTGGACCAAACATAGAACTGTTATTATAGGTACAAAATTCCCCCTCAAATCAATGGCAAGCAAACGTTAATGGGTAGGAATTGCCGGCACTAAACAGACATTCACCCCAAAAGTGATAGCGATTCGGAACACTGGTACCATCCTTAGAGAAGTCATCAAAATGCCAATCAAAAATAGGGAATGGAAGGATGGGGGTGCTATTCTGGAGCAAATGCAATCTGCGGAATGCTGCCCGAAGCATTCATGGTACGAAAGCCATTGAGAGCCGCCTCAAATTGCCATCCGAATTCTTGAAGGCATTGTCGCGAATAGGTCATATTCATTCCTGTTTGACGATGAAACTCAATAACCATTGTTTGCTGGTCATTTGAAGGTTGAGAATTAACCGTAATGGGTTGCAGGGGCGATGAAATACTTGTTCCGGCAGCAAGCTGACCTTTAGATGCCCGTTTAACATCTCTAATGTAGCGCTAAAGTGGCAAAACACAATAATTTATTAATCAATTTGTCATTAATTAAGGGTACCAGTTTATAAAATTAACCACCAACCTGTATCAGCGGCTCTGAAGGATTAGATATGATAAGATTATCTTGTAGAATCTTTGTTCCCGGAGCCACTATAATCATTAACCGATTAAAACACCTCAAAACTTTTCGCAGAGGAACGTTAGCTCCGTTTGCCTGTACAATTTCATAGAAGACGCCTGTCAAATTGAGAATGATCTGATTATTGGATTGATCAATAACATCAACGCAGAATGACTCCAAAACGTGCTCAGTTGGAGGGAGTTTTCCTAGCACTGACGCAATGTTTAAAGGACCTTGGGAGACTAATTCCATTCTCTTCGTTTCATCTTTACACCGGATAAGATTTCGATTGTTTTTGAAGTACGAATCGGAGAGATTATTAGTCATTAGTTGAACCTTCCGCTTTTCGCCATTCGTGTCAACAGTTTCAATGGTTTCCAGGACACTTTTGCCAGTAAATTGAGAACTTGGATTAAGGGTCATGGTTAAAGTAGAAGCAGAAGTGTAATAGTTATACATTCCTTCTCCACGTTGTTGAACATCGTAATGGCTGAAATACCTAAAAAGAAAGAAAATAAGTATAAAGGTAAACAAAGGAGAGTCACTTACTCCATGAGGAATGTCAAAAGAGGTTTCCTGATTTCTTCACTCCCAAAGTGGCCTTGAATGGATGGAGGAAGAGGAACACGGGGAGCCCTGTTGATCTCTGGAGCATTTGATATTTGCTCGATTGCGAACTGAACCGTAGTTTTGACGGGTTTGCCATTCTAAAATTCAAATAGTTAGTTAATCTACTATTATTTAATCAAAACCAAAAAATAAAAAGAACTTACAAGTATCTTCAGTCCCGGCAGAATTTTCACTATGTGCCTATCCGGAAATGGGTAACGAAAGATTCATTGCGCACGTTTACATTTGTATAAACTTCATACACCGACTGCAGATGAGCATCATTAACAAGGGGAAACCTCAAAAATACACTCAAACGCAGTTTGGTGAATAAACAAATCAAAATCTTCATATTTTAAAACTTAAGTATTACATATCAAAAACGTGAATTTATTAAATTAAGTTGAAGAAAATCAAACTTACGATTCAAACACCCTGCCACTTTTAGGGTGCGATAGGCGACCCGCCAAAGGGTTTTCTGATATATCAAGATCGACAATACTTGGGATGCTACCGAGGGCTTCAAGACAGCGTGGTAAGGTAATGATATTATTGCTTAAATCAATACGCTCGAAGGAGTACGTAGGTGGGCCCAGAAGCTTTTTCATATCATCAATTGGCTGAACGTTTCTCAGTCTGTTACCGGAGAGATTAAGCGCGGAGAGCTACAATAAAAAAATGTTTGATTACCCTACAAACTCACATACACCTACTTACGCATGGAATTGCCGCATTAGATTATTTACTAAATACCAAGTCTTGTTGGAGACAATAGAAACTATGGCACTACTAAGAGTTATACAGAATTGTTAGCTGATGCAAGATTAACTAACATGAATGATGATCACACAAATAGGACTGCTGAAACTTATACAAGTCACGGTTTAGGTTTGGCTAAATTAGAAAGCATTGACGGAAGTCAAATAAGAACGGCAGTGTTGTATCATTCCAATCATAACGAAATGGGATGCCACATTAGTGAATAAAAAACGTTCTTTAGGAGAAAGAAATGCACAGTTCTCTACTAAAAATAATAAGTATATTAGATACATTCGAACTCTCAATGACCATTAAGAGCTTCAGTAAGCACCTTTTTTCATATTGCTGGATTGTACAACCAAAAGTTAAAACAACAGTCGGAGTCAGATCCAGCATTAAAACATTGTATTGTATTAGAAAACTTACCCTTGCATTATTTTCTTGCAAAATTGTTAAAAACGATGAGAACACAATATTCTTGTTAAGAGGAATGAAGTAGCCACGATTAAGAAGAGTTAGGTCAGTATGGAGAGAGGAAAGATCCAGAACATTTGAAGTTGTTTGGAAGCGTTCTTTGAAACATTCTCTCAAAGCATTCATCCAAGACTCTGGGAGTATTGAAGCTGATATTCCTGAATCGGAATTTGCAATTGTACTAGAAGGAACATCAGGCTCAAGACAGGCCTTCACTTCGCAGACAATAGGGGTGTTGGTACTAGGGTTAACGATGGCCTTAATCGCTCGGAGAGACTCGTGGAGCTAAAAACAAAAACACGGATTAAAAACATAATTCTACAAATAAACAATGGTTTAAATATGGTTCACAATAGAGACAAGTTTTTAATATGAATCCGCTTTCAAATATCAAAGAAAATTTAGTGACCCAGTAGATGAAACACCCAAAATTTAGAACAAAAAAGGACCTAAGAGACAAGTAATGAAACCTGGGACTCATTCCAAGATGAACTACAAGAAATAGGACATCAAACTGAACCAGAGTAAGGCAAATAAGATGTACTTTAACAATGGAGATAAAATCCAATGAAAGACCTTACTTTAGCACAGAACCGACACCTCATATGCATATGACAAATAAGGCTCTAAGTTGTGCATCACTGTATAATATGAGCTTTCATATTATAAATGAAGGCATGTCAATTTTACATCATTTTCCACACCGTACACAAAAAATGGACGGCTCTACATGATGTATAAGACATAATTCAATAAAAAAATTTAAATAAGTTATTTTGCATAAAACATAGCTGATTGTTTGATGGACAGAGATGTAAATTGAGTAAAAGATTGGACGACCAAATCTTTAAGTTTTAAAGCTATTAAAATGGAATGAAAATCGTCCTACCTTCTTAGAGCGCAGCTTAAAGTAGAAAATACAGCTTTCACCCTTCGTCATATAGTTGTAAATTCTTATCGGAGATCCAACGGCTGTACTGATGCTTTCTTTAAAGAATTCCATAGGAAGCGAAGCCGCATTGGCAACACTTGCACGCATCCACGTTTCACCAGTTTGCGACACGACTGTTTGCGTATGTGAAGGACCAGGACCATCAACAAACATGACGCGACGAATCATTTCTGAGTTTGCGCTAGGTCGTTGTGAATTGCGTTGAGCACGCCTACCAGAGTTCCAATCATTGCGAAAGTGGGGATAATTGCTGGAATGGGCTGGATGATCAGGATCATCATAATCACCTAAAGTCACAAGCGCGTCAGTCAATTAACAAAACGATAAAATGGCAAAATGCGCAAAGAAAGCCTACCCTTATGATAAACGTATTTCTTGTTACGTTTATTGTAATTCACGCGCGGCATACTATACGACTAGCGAACAGTGAATGGCAGAAGCTTCGTAAACTGTGGCTTATACAAAAATGTTATTTTAAACAATTATTTCGTTCTATTTATACTTTTCAGAAATTTAACATTCTAATTAAAAATTATATTTAAAATATGATTTATAAAAATATTTTAACTTATTATTATTTTCATGCGTAATATCCATATGAAATTTTATAGCAATGTTATGTTTTATGTTATGCAACAAATATATTTCATTTTGATCACGAAATTTAAAACTATTGTCCGTCTTATTCATCCATGAGTGTTAAGAAAATTTTTATCGGTGTTAGAACGTATTTCGATATTTATCAATACTTATCACACAAGTTGTTTGCATTCAACAGCATCAGTTTTTTAAATAATATCAAATTGAAAACATTTTACCAATTTTATCCAACACTTTAGGGTAAATTCTGTATGCTTTTCAACCATTAGAATCATTTCATCCTTTTGGTATTGTCTGTTTATGTTATTTGTGATATAGACAAATTGTCAAACGAAGTTATTTCCATTAAGTATTTGCCCTTTGTGAAGTAACAGATATCTTTCCGGTGGATTTCATAAATGCTGCTTTTTATCTGATAAGCATGAAATATTTTAAACAATGCTTTTGCTGTTTTAGTTAGTTTATAATTTTGGGTGGATCCTATTTATAGAAATATATATGTAGATAATAATCTTATGCAGATAAAGGAGAATGAGATAGCTCATTACACTTTTGGTCGATTGCCCTTTAGGGTGACTATATGTTCCCTGTAATCAGAATTTAATTTATTTATTTAAGATAGTAATTATATAATCCTTCTTATCTAATATTATCGAGACCAGAATCATGTTGATTAGATAAATGGAATAAGTCATGACATTCTTATTGCTAAATCAGTAATTAAGTGGGCTGAAAGTCATCCTAATTTATCGGTAAATAAATCGTGTTCATGCATGACATATAATTCAGAAGGCGATGCATGTCCCATCGTCCATGCCTTAACATGTTGTTTAATCTCTAAGCCGATATCAATATGCATATCCCCACCCACGCAGTTGGGCCGCCGCATATAAGTTGTCGAGACCAATTTGCTAATAATTTCCAATTTCCATGTCCCAATGAAATCTAATAGCGATAACGGTTAAATTTTTTGATAGTCAGGAATTTGATGCATTTTTTGGCAAAATTAAAACGATATGCGAAGCGTCCAAATTTGTAGCGGTTAACTACACTAGCAAAGCCTTGACCGTGCACGGAAACCTCTATAGCACATCTCCTTTTCTGTAAATCTCCCGAAATCAACTATGCAACCACAAACTGTAGAATAAGCGTACGTATTACCAGGAATACGTCTATTTACAAAGGAAGTGATACGTAATATTTACACGCCGGAAGCTTAGTCATAATCAGCATGGCGGATTAGTTTAAACCAACGGAGGCTTCTGATTGGACACTGGCTGTACGGTTGTCTGGACGCGGAGTTGCACCTCCAAATTCTGGCATGCAATGACGTGTCCCACAATACTTCCCCCCTCCCTTAGAGCGTTTGAAGGAAACTAAAAGGGAAATGAAAAACGCTCGAAAATACATAATTTGTCAGGTCGAAATAATCAGCTTCAAAAGGTATAGGTTTCATTCCTGGAAGGAATTTGCATAAAATTTACCATTCAGGTTAACGTGATCTTTCACGAACCAACTGCATCATAATGCTACAAAATTATTGTTCGTTAAAAGTTAAATATTTTCTCTTCAAGTACAATTTTGCTAATGACTGCGTTGAAATTTAATAAATGGGGCGTGAGATAAATTTACCTCCACGTGATCACCCTGGGCTGCGTATATTCATACGCCAAAAAGTCTATAAACCGGCAGTTGGCTTCTAACTTCAAACTACCATGATCCCACTGTATGTCATACTCCACAACTTCCACTTACCTTACCTTTTTCTCTACCTTTATATTTGTCTCTCTCATTTACATCTTTGAATCATTCTTCTGTTTCCCCCTCTCGAATTTTATTCACGTTGATGTTCCTCCTCCTCTCTGTGAAGCCCGAAGTCAGCTAATGGGCTAATGATAGCTATAAAAACGCTTGGCATTTGATATAAATAAATAAACTTTAATAAACGAGATTCCTGCTGTTAACTATAGCTTGAGTTTGCATGAGGCAATGGCAACTGCACATAATCTAAAGGTATCTTTCGAATTACGTATTGTAAAATGTTTCATGAATAAACCAAGCTCTTATATTTAGAATTTGGGGTGTGCGATAGACTTACCTCCACGTGGTGCACCCTGGGCAACGTATACTCATACGGCAAAAAAGTCTATTAACTGACAGTTGACTTCCCACTTCAAACTACCATCATCCCACTGTATGTCATATTTGACTACTTACACGGTACTCATCTCACCTTTTTTCTACCTTTGTCTTTGAAACACTCTTCTATCCCCCCCCCCC